ACTTAATGAAGAACCCTGTTCTCGAACCTAGCAATCAGACCAGTCGAGCAGATTTCTAGCTTTTGAATGTCGTTTTTCAGTGACTCATATACGAGTATGCCCGGTCGTTACATTTTCTTATATCAGAACGAGGCTCTTATCAGACAGACCAGAAAATATTATCAGAACAAAAAAAAAAAAAAAACCAAGGAAATGAAGCCATCATGGAAACTCCGGAAGCTGGCCTTCTTCTCCTTCATCCTCGTACAGATTTGAGTTCCTGATGTGCCTTTGTCACCGTATGTTGCAATCATTGACTTTCCGACACTTGCAGCCCACCCAAGGGACTAGGCCGATCAATCTCAAGATTGAAAAGAGTGGCGTCGGGGCACAATGACTGGTTCACTGCCTCAGCCTCGAGCATCCATGGACGGTCGGAAGGTGAATCCAGCGGTTACTCCAGTCAGCGATGCAGGTGACACAAGCGATCAACCGCAGTCAAGACGATGATTGGTGTGAAGTGGGCCTTGATAAGCACCGAGCGGTCTTATCTATCCAACATTACAGGAGGTCCAAGGGCGATGATACAGTGGACAGTAATGTAAGTTAATTCTTGGTAAGACCCCTTCCCGGAGGAGCAGGAGTCAGCCGAGCACTTCCAAGGACTCTCCGAGCACGCGACTCCGGGTTGCCTGGGTGCCGAGCGCGCGCTGCCTACCTTGTTAATGGTGGCGGGTAGTAGTTGGTTACATACCAGTCAGATCAGGGCCAGGTACGTACCTGCAGTCCAGGGTCGGTTGCTCAATTCCGCAACAAGAGGAGCTGATTGAGTTGATTGAGCTGGCTGAGGCGGGTAAGCTTGAAGAGCTTGTATGCAGGGTCATTCGATCACACAACCGATAGCACACAAGCTTTAAATTAACGATGATCGTGAAGAGGGTCATTCAGAGAATCAAGTTATGTCAGTAACAATGTTAGTGTACTATAGGACTCGAACAAGTAGGATGGTTGATTGGGGGGGTGGCTGACCTATTCTTGAGTCACCCACCGCCCCCTCTCCCCTCGAGCTCTAAGGGCTACTGGCAACTGGCTCCAAGGGTACCTCCTCGTCACCCACCCGCCAGCGGCAAGCACATGTATCTCCCCTCTAGTAGGTCAACTAGTACTCGAGTAGGTAACGAGGGATGCAAGCTGCGCCCCAGTTCGCCTCATTATAGCTATTCCTGATATCTCAGATATTCCGAATCGCAGAATGGAGTTTCCGTAATCATGAACAGGCAGACAAGTAGAACCTATCAGCCTCTCTTACGTATACCCTCGGGATGTTTTAACGTTCCCCGGCCACGATAGGCTGGGGGATTCTCCGTTTACCGCCGTACTGTAACTCCCATACGCCAGTGTAGAGCAAGTGAGACTGTGAGTAAGGTAAACTGTAAACTGAAAACTAAAAGGTCAAGGTAAACTTACCTCTTTTGTATGTTTCTTTCCAGTTTACCCCAGAATCCGTTGCCAACCTTGGAGCCCGCGCTAATCACCGGGGCCCGATCGACACTAAAGACCGAGAGAACCAAATGAATCTGCTGTGTCATCCGGTCATCCATTGTAAACATGGTAAATATGGTAAATTACCGTATGCCGGTTGCATCATCACCTGCTGCCCTTGCCTCTTGTTAGGATAAGCAGTCCCCATCTCCACCTCCATCCGCCCTTCTCCTCATCTCCTCGCCCTCCCTCCTCTTCTTAATCAACTAACTCCCATCCTCCGCCCTCCCTTCCATTCCTCCTTCATCTTTATCTTTGTCAACCCTCCTATCTTCCAGTTCCTTTTTCCCTTTTCCATCTCTCATTCCTTCCGTCTTTCCTCTTCCCCTCCCTCCCTGCCCTCATCGCTTCCCTCCTTTACACTGCCCTGAGCTTCCATCTTACCCCATACACTCATCATGAAGGGCATCCTCGGCCTTTCCGTGCTCCCGCTGCTGGCGGCTGCATCGCCTGTCTTTGTTGATTCCATCCACAATGGAGCAGCTCCCATTCTCTCCGCATCCAACGCAAAGGAGGTTCCCGATTCATACATTGTTGTTTTCAAGAAGCACGTCACCTCGGTCTCGGCCGCCGCTCACCACAGCTGGGTGCAGGACATCCACTCCTCTCAAAGCCAAAGCCAGCGGACCGAGCTGAAGAAGCGATCGCTCTTTGACTTTGGCGAAGAAGTCTATCTTGGTCTCAAGAACACCTTCGACATCGGTGGCTCCGTGATCGGTTACAGCGGCCACTTCCACGAGGATGTTATCGAGCAGGTCCGCATGCATCCTGATGTAAGTTCTCTGCCGTCTCTGCCATCGCCATATCAACCCCATCTAATCGATCTTGCGTAAACAGGTCGCTTACATCGAGAGAGACTCCGAGGTTCACACCATGGAGGTGAATACTGAGAAGAACGCACCCTGGGGATTGGCCCGTATCTCCCACCGTGATAGCCTCACCTTTGGCACATTCAACAAGTACCTGTACGACTCTGAGGGCGGTGAGGGCGTTGATGCCTACACCATTGATACCGGCATCAACGTCGACCATGAGGACTTTGAGGACCGTGCCACTTGGGGCAAGACCATCCCTACCAATGACGAGGACCTTGACGGCAATGGTCACGGAACTCACTGCTCTGGTACCATTGCCGGTAAGAAGTACGGTGTGGCCAAGAAGGCCAACCTCTACGCCGTCAAGGTCCTGAGATCGAGCGGCTCTGGCACGATGTCCGACGTCGTTCAGGGTGTCGAGTGGGCTGTTGAGTCCCACCTGAAGAAGGCCAAGGATGCTAAGGCCGGTAAGGTTAAGGGTTTCAAGGGTAGTGTTGCCAACATGAGTCTGGGTGGTGGCAAATCCAAGACTCTCGAGGATGCTGTCAACGCTGGTGTTGAGGCTGGCCTTCACTTTGCTGTTGCCGCCGGCAATGACAACGCTGACGCTTGCAACTACTCTCCCGCTGCTGCTGAAAATGCCATCACTGTCGGTGCTTCGACCCTCGGCGACGAGCGTGCTTACTTCTCCAACTACGGCAAGTGCACCGACATTTTCGCTCCTGGTCTGAACATCCTGTCCACCTGGATTGGCAGCAAGCACGCCACCAACACCATCTCTGGTACCTCCATGGCCTCTCCTCACATCTGCGGTCTCTTGGCCTACTTCGTCTCCCTTCAGCCTGATGCCGACTCTGCTTTCGCTGCTGGCGAGCTCACTCCTGCCAAGCTCAAGAAGGACTTGATCTCCATTGCCACTCAGGGCGCCCTTACTGACATCCCATCGGATACCCCTAACGTAAGTTGGCCGCGTTCTCCACACTCTGGAAGTAATTGTGACTGATTATTCTATAGCTCCTCGCCTGGAACGGCGGTGGCTCCAGCAACTACACCGACATTGTTGCCAACGGTGGCTACAAGGTCTCCACCATCAAGGATCGCTTTGAGAACCTGGTTGACAAGGCTGAGAAGATGCTCTCTGAGGAGCTTGGCGCTATCTACAGCGAGATCCAGGACGCCGTCATTGCATAGATTTGTCTTTTTTTTTTTTTTTTTGTTTTCACAGACCTAGTTTGAGTTTTTGACGTCAAGACAAGACAGCTTGAGATCAAGACAAGAGCAGGTCGGACATTGGCGCTGACTTTTTTTATCCTATTGCTTTGGAGTTGATGCATTGAGTGCGTCAATCGTACCATCCTGACGTTATCCGCCCGCCTGACCTATCCTTATGGTAGTATACATGTCGCGAAGAACCTATGACGCTTTGATTTAGAATTATTGGGTGCTTTTACCATATTGTCAATTTGTTACGATCAGTAGAGAAATGGTATCTTGCTGATGAAGATCAGTCAATGTAGTTTCAAGGGGAGAACATCTGTATCTTGTGTTGTGACTGCCTGACGAGAGTGGAGCGTGAGCGTATCACATGTTACGTACGGAGCAGATAGCTTCGGTTCCTCATCGTCGATAAGCAATTGAGTTCTTTACTGTACTGTACATGCATACATATGTACACCTTACTGAAACACTGAGTGAGTGAGTGATTTCGATCTTGCTCCTACGCCTGACCTGACACCTACATCTGTATTGAGCAATGCGCTTCTCACTATTCTAGCGGTAGCTCAGCGCCCATTCACGACGCCGGATTATACTGACTGTACTATACAGTGCAAAGCACCGAAGGTCAGGTCCTACTCATACGTAAGTTCCCCTCCTGATAAGCCCCGAACTCCACTTATCCATCCATCCACATGATCCCCCCCCTTCGAATAAGTCAATGGCACCTGCACTCTCTCATTCGAACCGGCTGAATAACCTCACGTTCCTATCTTCGCACCTTTACATTTAAAGAGTCTCAGCACAGATGCTAGTCTCATTCTTTGTAATCAATCCTCTCTCGATACCGCAGGCGCAAAGCATAGCATTTGAAATACAAGCTACATATACGTTACCGTGTACTGTACCAGGTCGCTACGAACCTCTCCCCAGGAACGGTAGCTTTGCTTTACTTTCCTCACCGCGCGAGAGCTACTAAGCTTAGCTTTGGCAGGATTATGCATGTAATGAGAAGGGGTAGGGGAGGGGGAAGGAATGAGGAAGATCGACGGGCCTCGGACTATCACCCCTCTCTCTCTTGGGTCTCTTCCCCTCCCGCGTGATGGTATCATCAGGACGGACGGTCAGGCACCGGGAGTCCATACAGTAAGTATGCTACATGCTAACTAGTAGAGTGCTAAGTCGGAGGCGTTCGGAGTGTCCCCCGCTCCGCTGGGATGTCGCTGGATTGAGATATGATCGGCTGGAAGATTACTCAATACTCTCACTGGTGGTGGTGGATGACATTCCTGTCCCGTGGAGGGGTGACATCATCTTCTTTGGATTCTCTGCTTCGGTTGGGTTTCCGCGTGGACGTGTTTTGATTACTCTGCTTGGGTAGTCGTTGTTATACTGTGTTATACTGTGTTACGCGGGGAGTTTTGACCGAGGGATTTGGGATTCGACGATGATGAGAGTAAGTGATGGCTGTAAGATATATGTATGCATGCATGCATTGAAAAGAGAACACACCCCGTCCGTCCATGCTCTGCAGATGAAGTGGATGTGTAAATCACAAATAGAAATATGCTGCTCCGTGGCCTATATCGTCCGTCCAATGCGCCTCGCTATGCCGATTATAAGACAGAAGAAAGAGAAAAAAAAATAAGGCAGAAAGAAACCAAAGAACCCAATGTGTTCCAAGCGCCGGATCCAGGAGGCGAGAGTAAGTCTGGCGGATTTGCCCGTCGCAAACCCACAATGTACAGGGGAGCTCCGGATTAGGTCTCTCCTCAAGCCTTGTTGACTAGCTCATCTTCCTCCTCACTACCCGTCTCCTGGTCGTCATCATCCACATCCAGATCCTCGTCGGAGTCGCTGCCTCCGAACACGTCGTCGTCGACATCGCTCTCCGCCCAGAAGTCGGAGTCGTCCTTCTCGATGGCCCTGGCCGTCGAGGTCGTGTGGTGGGTGGGCATGACAAACCCCTCGGGGATGTCCTTCTTCGAATCTTCCACGTGCTGACGGACGATCGACTTGTAATGCTCGGGGTTCTTGCGGAGCATCACCGAGGCGTCCACGTTGGCGGGCGAGGAGATCTCTGCGTCGTCGAGCAGCGAGAGGATGGATATGAGGACGGATTCGACTCGCTGAGCCGGTGACCATCGCTCCGAGGCTAATTCTCCCGACATTTCGTCCTCGCCGGGGGCGTGGAGGATGGAAATGCACAGTTTGCCGTCTTTGTAGATGTTCGGGTGATAGAGAGGACGAAGAAATCGGAACTCTGTATGATGAAGGGATCTCAGGTTAGTCGATTTGCGCATTTGCATTGTGAGAAGGGAAGGGAGGGGCAAGGCGCTTATGGCCCAGGCGTAGCGAACACGGGCTGACCAACCTGGAGGGGAATAAGGGTAGTTGCTCGGAAACTTCATTGAGGCCTTGAAGTATCCGCCATAGTAGAGCGAATCTGGGTTGAGGACGATCAGGCCCACGTTCCAGTTTAGAATGTTCTGTTCATCGATCTGGAAGCGGAATCCGGTCAGTATCTTCACGATAAGGGGGAGTGGTCCGCGGTTAGGTGGATAGTCCGCGACATGTTAACCTAGACAAGAAATTCATGGGAACATACCTCGATATTAACCCATGGCTCTTGCGACAACGACTTGTACTCGTTCATCAAGATGCGTTCCACCATGGTGAGCGACGGCAAGGCAGGGGTGGCGGGCGGGGAGTAGCCACAGATATCAAGGGGTACAAAGAATATATACAGATCCCTAGTGGTGAAGCAGCGTGGTTGAAGATATTTACCGTAAATCGCTCCCTTAGGATTCTGAAGATCAAGTAGATAGGCAGTAGTGGTGGTGAGAGACACGATCTTGTGAGGGGAGACAAGTTGGAGTGAGGGTCATTGTCCGGCAAGAGACGCCGCTCGGTGAAAGAGGCCGCTAGTCCCGCTGTGGCAATCCATGCTATCCCACGCGCAACGGAAGGTCCCGGGGGAGTGGCGTGCCCGATTTCCTCATCACTTCCTTAGAAATCCGATGGAATCTCTCCGCAGAGTTTTTTCTGCCATGAGCCACCTCGACCGAGCGAAACCTACCTTATACGTACTTGAAGTAAAACCCGAACAAATAGGCGGGTTCCTTACCCATGACAATCAAGCTCCGAGGCAATGCCGCTGTTTTCAAGCATTGATAAGATACAATTCGGAAGGGTCTTCAAAGTCAGCTTAGTCAGGCACCAAAGGTGGGAAAGACACCCCAGGGCGGCCACTCACAGTGTAGAAACAGATGAGCAATTACTGATGCTCATTGGTTTTTCATAGCTTAAGAGGAGAACAAACAGTGGGGGCTTGAGAGGGGGAAAAGCAGCCCTTCGAGTGGGGAAAAGTCGCTGTAGTCTTATTTAGGACTACTTTGGACCAGCTGGTTCAGTTATCATCGTGTTCGTGATATCATTACGGCATCGTCCCCAGCAATCCTGGTGAAATCCTCTATTCCCGGCGGTTCTCTGGAGACTGACCGACGGAGTTCCTAAGGCGTACCTTAACCTGAAGGGCTCCTGGATGGACAAGACATGCCACTGAGTCAAAGGCACAAATCATCTTCCAGCCGCCTTGCTGCTCCTGCTGTTCCTCGCTGCTTATCTCTCGGATGATAAAGAAGGGCGCCCCATCAGACTCAGATTACGAAATTAGCTAACTATCCCATTTTCAGACGCCGACGCCTGTCAAGTGATGACCTTCCAGAGCTTGACTCACAGCTCCAAGCGAAATTTGATAACAGCCAAGCGCGCATGACGAATCAACCGCGTCAATTACAAAAAAAGGTCAAAGGGTCGAGTTTGTCAGTCGAGTCGGTGTGACCGGCAAGGGGTAAGTTATGCAGCATGCACGGACAGCCCGACAGCCCTCGCATGTCCCTATCTTCAAATCCCTCTCATTCCTCTATTTTCCATGAAAATTTGGTTTCGATGAGAAGTAAAGAAGAGGTCTGTGGGTAGGAAGTTCGAGACCGTGTTCTTCGTAGCTTTCTTCGACGATAGGAAAAATCTAGAGCTTGTCGACTGCGGAACGAACCCTAGAGTTCTCACAAATCTGGGGACATCTGCCCTAAGACTCCAAGAGAAAGCGAAGATAAAATCCTTTAAGATCGCACCTGGCAAAGTGGATCCACCCGCCAGAAAGAGGTGGTTGAGATAAAGTAATTTGATTTGATTTGTGATACATCAATTCCACTGGACGCATCGGGGATGCACGCATCTGATAATGACTGGATGACAAGGAAAACAAAAGAAGTCTGCATGTTTTGCCCATGTCTTGCGTGCAATGTCAGCATCGCGTGAAGGGCTGATGGAGGGTTGACCATGGATCCAGAAGAGTCATAAAAGTAACAGAAATATAGTATTTATCCTGGCGAATACCGAGCCATCGTTGGTGAAACACCACTAGTAGAATTGGGTGTAACGGCAGCAATACTAACTCACTTTTGTCGCAACGTGGGAAGCCTGGAAGGCAATCGGATTAGTTTACTGGAGGTCTGGAATATTCGTTGCGGGCGGAGGAAAAGAAGCCTCCACTGCTATTTTTCTAGTTTTTCCAGGGCAAGTTAAGAGGCTGACTAGGGGGTAGGAGACTAACTAACGAGTCTTAACGAACTAGTAGTCTAGTAGGTTAGCCGGTGGACTGCTGTGTAGCCTGCCGGGCTGTTCTCCACGGGCTGTCCCACTCGCTCGGCGTCCGCCTGCTGCTCGTCATCGCCGCATTTCTGCCTTCCTGGTCTTCCACCCTTCCTCTCCTTCCCCCTCCCAGTTTCTCTATCTCTCTCTTTCTCTCTTTCCCTCCACCTTCACTCCCTACTCTCGCCTCCTCTCTCCTGCAACAACCTATATTATCGTCGAGGTCGTGCTATGTTGCTAGCCTCCTCGCGATCATCGTTGCTGTATAATTGCGCCCGTGCCTAACCGTTGCTCTCGTGGAAAAGTCGGCTACATCGCTTTTCTCCGCCTTCCCGTTCGGCGATGCTAGGCTTGTCCTGCATCTATATGCCGTGACGTTGTCTCTCTAGCCACTATACAGGACGCCTTCTCGTCTAACAATTGCTGGCTAGGCTAATCAGTCTATATTTCGAATTCAGCACACAAGCGCATGATCTGTGCAGCTCCTCTGTTTCGACCGTTCTTCGTCTACCAATAATGGGGGTGGAATGCCATGGCCCAATCTGGGCCGGTGATGACCTCTCTCGTTGCTTCCAACGCAAGTACGTTGAATTTCTTCCGGCCCGTGTAGGGCGCTGTGCCAGAATATAAACTAACAAGCCATAATTCTAGCTACCTACAAGTTATTCTCCCGCTCGCGGCCTGCGGGCTCTCTCTAGTTCTCATCGTGCTCCGCGTTGCATACGGTTATCTATTTTCTCGCAGAGGGGTTTCATACAAGATCTTGGTGAACAATGAAGAAGATGAGGATACGACAACCACGGCTATCGGGGACGATGAGGAAGGGGAAACAGATCCAATGCTGAGTAAAGCAACGCAAAGCGAGGTGCCTCACTTCGAAGTGGATCGCCCACGGGGCGAGATTGCCGTTATATCTTTAGAAATCCTCGCGCTTGCGGGAGAAGTGGCGGTCTTTGTTGCTGTTCTATCTACAGATGCTTGGGGTCGTCAGGGCTCTCTCCCAGCCATTGCGAAGCTAGTTTCATGGTCCTATATATTATTCCTGGCATTGGTCCGGCTGCTCCTATCGACGCTGGACCTCCACTCTTCTCCTCGGCTCTGGAACCATACTACGGCTTTGTATGGGCTGCAATGGCTATTTACCGTCTTCATTTTCCGATCTGCCGTCATCCACCCACTTTCCAAGCGCGCCTTGACCTTCAGTTCGATTGAATTCGCCTTGTCGACTATCCTTTTACTGGTTGCAGTGACCACCCGCAGAGGGAACAAGTCTGTCCTCGTTTCGCATGAGGACGGCCTGGAGCCCGCGAGACATCCCACGGCCAGCTTGCTCTCGCTTGCTACCTTCGGATGGCTGGACTCCTTGATCCTCAAGGGCTACAGACAGCCCCTGGAACTCGACGATGTCTGGGACTTGACTGCGTCTCAAAAAGCCGCCACTGTGCTGGAGGACTTCCGACGCAGGCACTATCAAGGTGCTCTCTGGTGGAAGTTGGCCCGCTACTTTTACGGTACGCTTCTTTACCAGGGCGCCTGGACGATCTTCTCAAATTGCTTCACGTATCTGCCCACTATCTTGCTTAGAGCGATCCTTCAGTATGTCGAGGATCCACGATCGACCACAGCAAATGCAGCCTGGCTATACGCCATTCTTCTGTTCTGCTCCGGAGCCATTCAGGGTATTGCTGACGGACAAGCCCTCTGGATTGGACGCAAACTCGGCGTCAAAGTCCGTGCCATCATCATTGGCGAGATCTACGCCAAGGCTCTGCGGAGAAAGGCTGGCTCGACTGTTGAAACCGCCCCTAAGAAGGTTTCTGAGGCGGATGACGACAAGAAAAAGAAGGGCGGCCTGTTCTCCTTTGGTCGCAAGAACAAGAAGAAGGCGACTGCTGACCCTGAAACGAACGGTACCACAGCGAAAGATTCCAAGGAAGCTGACGAAAAGCAATTGGCCAACGTTGGTACTATTATCAACCTGATGGCCATTGACTCTTTCAAGGTTAGCGAAGTTGGCGCCTACCTGCACTTCCTCTGGGCCAGTGTGCCTACTCAGATTATCATCGCTGTCACCCTTCTCTATCGTCTTCTGGGCCTGAGCTCCTTTGCTGGAATCGTGATTATGGTGCTCATGCTACCTGTGAACCTCATCATTGCCAAGCAATTCTCAAAGGTTCAGAAACAGATTCTGAAGGGAACCGATGCTCGTATCCACAGCACAAATGAGATTCTGCAAAACATTCGGATCATCAAATACTTTGCGTGGGAGCAGCGTTTCCAGGATATTGTCAACGAAAAGCGCAAGACCGAGTTGAAGGCTCTCCGATTCCGCTACATTATCTGGTCTTCAGCAGCTACCGTCTGGTACGGCACGCCAATTCTGATCACATTTGCCTCTTTCTTCTTGTACACGGTGGTGGAAAAGAAACAGTTAACACCTTCAATCGCGTTCCCCGCATTGTCCATGTTTTCTCTGCTGCGTGTGCCTTTGGATCAGCTAGCAGATATGGTGGCACACGTGCAGGAATCCAAAGTCTCGCTCGATCGTGTTGATGAATATCTCAATGAGGACGAGACTGAGAAGTATCGTCTGCTTGATCACGAGGAATCGCCTGGGGAGCCAGCTAAGATCGCACTGGAGAAGGCTACTCTCAGTTGGGGTGCTTCCAAGACGGGATATTCCGATGACCCATCGGACGATGCCAAAGACAATTTCCGCCTGATCAACATGGATGTGTCGTTCAAGGTTGGCAAGCTGAATGTTATCACCGGCGCTACTGGGTCTGGAAAGACGTCTTTGCTTATGGCTTTGTTGGGTGAGATGAAACTGCTGGAAGGAAGGGTCTATCTCCCTGGCGGCACTGCGAATCGCGCGGAACTTCCCGTGGATCCGCAGACGGGTCTCATCGAGAGTGTTGCGTACTGCGCACAGGAAGCTTGGCTTGTGAACGCTACCGTAAAGGAAAATATTGTGTTTGCATCCCCCTTCGACCAACGCCGGTACAATGCTGTGATCAAGGCATGTGCTCTGGAGAGAGATCTCCAGATTCTCGACGCTGGGGATCAGACTCTCGTGGGCGAAAAGGGCATCAGCTTGTCAGGCGGTCAGAAGCAGCGGATATCCCTCGCCCGTGCGGTCTACAGCAGAGCTCGCCATTTGCTCTTGGATGATTGTTTGAGTGCCGT